GATCGGTACCGTTGTGAAAGAGCATCCACGCGATTACGCGTCGAATCGCGGCGGTCTTCTTCTTCGGGCATTCCGGACACGCGAGGCAATCCGCGCACGGACGAGGGGGGATCGATACGCGGCCGCCGGGCGGAAATTATTCGAGACGACGCGACCAAGAAAATTTCGAATGCATTTTACCGGAAGCGGTCCGCGCGTGACGGGGCATGGCAAACCGCCAGCTTCCGGGACGCGACGTACAGTTGCGTCTTTCGACGGAAAGCCGGCCGAAATTAACACTGGAACTGCCAGGTGGGAAGGAATCACAAACACCGAGTGTCTTCTTTTAGAATTACTGGAAAGCAACGGATACTTGGTGAACGCTGTCTCTACCGAACGCGTGGAAAGACGTTTCCAAGTTTTAACTCAATTCTTTGCTCGGTTTAACCCTTAGCACTCTAGATTGTTTTGTAATCTATCAGCAACTGCGACTAATTTTTATAGTATTCCTAGCGAAAATGAGAAATGCAACATTTCTTCGATCATTTTCATTTTCATTGAAATATTAATATTAGAACTGGTGCAATATTGGAGCCTACAGAGTTCGAAGGGTTAATCAGTACTCGATTGAATTGTGGATGTTTGTAAATGGGTTTATAATCTTTATTGGAAAAGTCGAGAAGTCAGTTCGGAATATACGAGTAAACTTTGAACGTAATTTTAAGTTCATTCGGAAGGCGACTTTTGATAGCGTGGGTAGAATAACGTTAAGGAATGATCGAAGATGATTTAGCGATACATAAATTGAAATATAAGTTAATAGAAATCTTAATGGATTCACGTTCGTAGGTTTTGTAAAGGAATTTTCGAAACGGTTTAATTATAGACATGTAACTTTTGTACAAATTAATCGTTTCCAACGAATCACCGGCCGATTCCGTCTGGAACTCGGAAGAGCCGCCGTTCCGCTGCCGTTCCCTCGGTTTCGAAAGTTCCCGTGTAATTAATTTTTCGCAATTGACCACTCGTGGCGGCGGTGTCGGCCGAACGCGAGAAAGTTGTTTCGTTTTGGCTAGCCACGCGTTACACGCGGCCAAGTTTGGCCCTCGAAATCTCGGAATCGCGGGGAACGCGGCAGACGAGAGCGGTCCGTCGCTCGGTGGAGCTGGAATCGAAAAAACTCGTACTGAACTCAAACCCACCGCCTGCTCGACATGAAATTTTTACCACGTACTCTTAACTGCATACAGTAACCGGTGTTCTATTTAAAATTTGCAGGAAGTCGACGAATATTGACCGAAAAAACCTCAAACGTAGGAAATCGTGTTTTGTTCCAGTAGAATTCTGTTTCCCTCAAGATTATCGTGCATTGCTTCACTAAATCTTAATTACGAATAACACTTATCTCAAATCGAACTATACAGCGTTAAAGATCATTATTTTATCTACCTGTACACGTAATTTGAAAAAAGTATACCTACTGCAACCCTTTGAAAACTACTCACTCGCGATCTTCGATGATACGAAACAAGAACAGATCGTTACAAACGCGACGCACTTAAAATCGCGTGCAATTATGCACGCAGCTGCAAATAGAAGTTTCAAGTGAAATCCACGGATCCGCTTCTCCGTTCGAGCGGTGCGTCGAGCGGAGGCTGCGTTTCGAGAGGCGTACCTTCCTGTTTATCGCGTGACTCGCCGCGCCGCGGTTTCCGCGCGCCCGGATCGAGTCGACGCGATCCGCGACGATTTATCGGGGGTTACGGAATAATTGAAGTAATCGTCGCGGCAGCTCGATACCTCCGTGTCGCGATAACTCGAAACCATAAATTTCCCAGTAAGTCGCGCGTGCGGCCGCCGATCGCTATCGGCCAGTTCTGGTTTCCCCGATTGCACGCTCGAGCGCGCGATCAAAATTCATTTCGTCCGAGCCCTACTGGAGCACGCGGTCGTTTCGCCGCGAACATCCGTATCGAGGGTTCGAGAGGATATCGATCGACGCGCGAAATCGAGCGAAGACCGGCAACAGAAACGAGCAATTTACATACGTTATCGGAAACGTGGCTCGCGTGGGAGTGCCGGAGCGAGTGTAATGGGCAAGATCGCGTGTAGCAGCTGGCGAACAGAGAGAAACGACGGGGGGAGCAAGAGCCAGTCATCGTTGAGATTTCGAGCGAACGCTCGAGGACTTTGTCGTTCGAAAGAATTCCGGAACTCGTCCAAGCGATCTTTCGGCGGAACTTGTTTCCGGAGGCAGATGGGAGAGCGTAGCTACTCTTCGCTTTGCGATAGTTTGTTCCTTGTGTTGGTAAATAATATTTATAGAAACGGTATGATAAGCCTAATTATATAAACAGGGAGAACGAGAATATAGGGCTGACGTAGGTTATTATAATGAAATTAATATCTACCTACATAAACCTTAAGGGTTAACACAAATATAGGACAAAACTCTATTCTTTGAGTAAATCTGTAAGGAAATCTATGTAGTTTCCGAGAAATCAGTTTTAACACTAGAACTGTCAGTCAGAATGTCTGGTTTCGATTCGTTCGTTTAGCAATAATTGATATCTTCGAAGCATTGAATATTCGAAATGATTCTGAAAATAGTTTTACTGGTGTACTATAATGAATGTCTGAGGAAACTGAGAATAATCTATTGTTACAATTTTCATAGGAACTACGTATTAATCGTATTGACCCTTTGCACTCGACAATATTTTTCGCAACTAACACAATTGATTATCTTCTATAAATTAAGAGACAGAACTATTTCACTTCGATGTTGTCTGTGTCGATACATTACACAAGGTTTAACATTGAACAGAAAATTTCTTAAGATTGCTGCGTCGAATCAAAGGGTTAAACGCTCGGTAGTTCTAGTGTTAAATTTGCTACAGACGATGCTTCCGAAGTTAGTTACGTATATCGTAAGGCGGATTAACAAGTGCAGAACGGCAGAAGTTAAACTACACGGTCCATTTGGGAACAGGACGCTGGCTACTGTACGTACAATTAAGAGATCGTTTGATGTCGAGGCTAAGGAATGCGGCTATCATTTCCGAGCTTTCATCTCCTCCGGTCCCATTCTCGATGGCGATTTGCCACCGGTCAATACAGTTACATATAACCAATCAAAACCGTAAACAAAATTCCTCGCGAGAGAGAGAGCAGCGGGCGCTAGACGCCGAGCGATCTCCCAACTGTACTTCCGTACGCAGGAACGCGAGGCAATTTCAAGCTCCGATGCGCGTACCGCGCGTGTTACGATTCTTTCTCGCGTATCCGGATCGTCGGCTCGTTCGATGCACTCTCCGTCGGCCGATCCGGCGTCCCGGAGACATCCGCGGCACGGAGAAGGGAATCGTTTCCGGCGGCGTTCCCCGGGAATCCCCCTAGACACCAACGACCCGTAAAATCCGACGCGCTTCCGATCTCGGGGAACATCGGTCGCCGTCCGCCACCCGAAAAAATCGTCCCGCGACAACGATCGTTGACCGAAGACCGGATGCCCCGTATCTAATCGGCGCCCGGACCGTTTGTCGTTACGTGAAACGCGCGCGTAACGCACCGCCCTATCGCGCGTGCGACCGTTCCGGCCGAATCAACCGTTTTTTCGACGTCTGCGCCGTGCTTCCTTTCTACTCCGAATTCAATGTCGCGTTTCCCGTTGCGCTTAGTCACGCGCGATACATTTCTGATCGGCTACAGCGATCCGCTGCCTCGTTGCTAACGGCAACTCGCTGCGGGATGGAATCGCGAAACCGGATTAAGCGCACGCTTTCTTATGGAAAGCTGCGTTTACGGGCAGTCGTTCGAAATGAATCGAGAGCTTCGAATATGAACGGGAGAATTCTGTTTTCTTTGAGAGCGGCGCGCTTAGTGTATCCTGATTACGGATAAGATTAAGATTACCTCGAATCGAATGTATCGAGCAGCATTCTCTTGTACGTGTAATTTCGAAATAGATCGATTGCCATTTTGAGTACAATACGTTAACGAACGTAGCCTCGAAATCTATAATTAAACTCCGTTTCCTTAAGGTTAAACTATTTAGTTTCACTCTTAGATTCTACGTCTCCAGAAACCCTGGAGCCAGGTTGTTTGCAACTGTTCATGGAAATAACAGAAACATGCAAATGTACCACTTAACAGTCATCAAGACGCCTCTCGCGTGGCGACAGTACTTTGTAAAACGCGGGCGCGACATCTTGTCAATTAAGCGTCAGCAACGGAGCAATTAAACACACGGAGCAATTAACCCTTTGCGAATGTCGATGTTTCGGTCAGATGAAATGTTCAGATTTGGAAGACTAAGTCGTGGGCAGACGATCTAATTAGTCGAACAGCGAGAGATCAGCACATAGTTTTCTTTCTATTAATTAAGCGATTGATATACAATTTAGCTTCATACGTTGGGGGTTTTCTATATTTCAAAGAATCCTCGTCCGCAGAGGAAAACCCTTTGCGTTTCTAAGTGCTCTTGGTTTCTAACTTTGAGGTTCACGTCGACGCTAGTTCATTCAATTAATATGACGCTCTATTTATTCAAGAATATTTGGGAGTCATTGAAATGTTACCTCTAAATGGTAAAATTGTGATGCTACAAATAAATATAGAAAAAATTGTTAAAGGTAGAGGTTGCAAAATGGAATGTCGAGTCTGACTCGACATAGGACTGCTAAGGGTTAAAGCAACTGCAACCCAATGAAAATCGTGTATAAAGTGCCATCGTCCAAGGGTTAGACGGGTAACTTTACCATCGCCATGATAATGTAGGGCTGCTAAAATAAAAACTAAGTCCGTAGTCAGGTTAAATATATTTATTACGCGATGTGGCTCTAACGAATGGCGACTGCATGGTAGTCCCCTTGGTCACAAATTTGTCAATGGGCCTTATCTCTCAGGCCCCCAAGTATCGACGCGCAAAAGTGCGAACCGTCTACGATAATAAGCCGACTATCGAAAAGCGTGAGCTTGCCGCGACAAAGAACTAAACCGACATTTGTCCTCGTTTATAGGATACCGGCAAGGGCGGCGTGGCGGCGAGGGTGCATTAGCGGCGGAAGGTAATGCGCTTGGCGAGCGGAAGCGAGAACCGAGAAGCCCCGAGCGGCCCGAGCCGTGTTCGCTGTTCGGTCCCGCTTTCCCTTCGGGCCCCGGTCCCCGAGAAGGACGCGGCCGTTCGGAGGTCGCCGAGGTTCGCGAGGTCCCTCGGCCCCGCTGCGGAGAGATCATCGGTCCTCGACGGCGCGGGAACGCGGGCAGCGTCACCAACGAGGACGGCAGCCGACAGGGAGCGCCTCGTCCAGCACGGCGCTCTTCTATCGCCGATAGGAAGGAGTTATGGTGTCTCGCACATGCGATGACTGCGGCGGCAGCCGTGGCACTGTGGCATCGTGCCCACCTCTACAAGGCGATCGTCTGCGTCGTCCTCGCTCTGATCGCCATCCAATATTTACTTAGCGGCGTGATCGATCGCCGATCGATAGAGACGATTTTCACCATTAACGCCACCAGGTACGTAACGCGAATTCCAACGGATATGCCCGATGGCTCCGCGAGAGCGGTCTTCTTTCATCGCTGGGACGTCGATCGGTCAACGGTCTCGATCGGACCGTTTTCTCGATGGGAATTCGAGGAGGAAACGATCCTCGGATGATGTGCTCTGTAATGCTATGGCAGGAGGAGGTTCGGGAAGATTAGGAGGGAGGAGCGTTCCGGGATCTATCAGAACTGACCTCTCATCATCATCAGCGAGAATCTTGGTAGAATCGTGTCTTAGATGGAGGGAGGAGTGTAGTCCTTTTTTTCCTTTGTGCATAATGGTATTCAGTTCCTGGAAGGAATTCTTAATACCTCGATGGATTCATGTTGATGTAATTTGATTAGTTGTTTGCCTTTTTTCGCTTGTGGAACTGCCGCAATTCTTTGCTTCAAATTATACATCTACCTTTCATTCTCTTTGCCTCAAATTCTACATCTACCTTTCATTCTCTTTCCTAAATCTCTACTACTACTCTCTCTAATGCCATTCGCGTCTCCTCATTCTCTTCTCATTCTCTTCTCATTCCAGACACCCCTCTTCCTCATTTCCTCATCCACACACACTGCCTTTCTTCTGTTCTAATCAATCCCTTTTCTTCTTAGTCCACCCTCTTCATTCATTTCTCCCCTTACTGTCCAACCCAATATAATGTCCTTTAACTCCTAACTCTTCCTTCCCCATATCTTCCTCCTCCTCACACCTTATCAACAACACGTGCTTCGAAATTCTTTCTGCTCCCCTTTCTAACCCTGCACACACATTCCTTCTCCACAACCCGTAATCTTCCTCCTCTGATTTCGTTCCCCAACCTGAATCTTCTAATCACTCTCTACACTCTCCTCCTTCCATCCCTCTAAATATTTCGACTTTCCCTCCCTTACCACCTTGTACCATTGCATACTTCCTTATTTGTAAATCTCTCGGCTCCGGTCGCGCGCTGCACCGAATCGCCGTCGCGTTCCGACGCGGAGCGGCGACGGTTGCGCAGGCTCCTCTCCTCCAAGTAGATTTCCGAGAAAATTCATTCTGCCAACGTAGCCGCGGCACGTACATTCCAGTAGAGTACGTGATCCCGTTACTTCGTTAGCGGTCATTTAGATCGTCCGTTTGCGGAAGCGGTCGCTAACGATCCTTTGACCTTTACGCGGCCCGAAACCTCCATTCCGCGAGCGTGCTCGTCGCCGGCGAGCCCGCGGCGAGCGTTCCCCGTCTCTATGGCGGGCCTGTCCCGCGCGTCAGCGCAGGAAAGTCCTCTCGGAGGAAGAGAGGCCGGGGATCTCTCCATTAATCGTTCGCGGGAAACGGTGGCGCGGACGGAAGGAAGTAAACGAGATAAGTTTCGTCCGAAATCGAATATTCCCGGGTAAACTATCGGGCGATGGGGGAGCGGACGCTGAAGAATCGCGACGCGATTAACGGTGTAGCCTCGTTTTACCGCGTTTTCGCGGAATTTACGACGCCGGTTAATTTCGAATTTTGTTAGCGACGACGATTATCCTCGCGACTCGTTGCGAGATGCGCGAAGTAGATGACACTGCCGAAGACTCGATGGAATCGATGTCTACCGAATTTCATTCTTAACCCTTTGCACTCGAACGTTTTTTACTAGAAATATGCAACACTTTCTGATAGGATACAGACGATCTTTGAAACTAATTAATGAGAAAACATATATGAATTAAGGAGGAAAGTTCTTTTATTTCAGTATTCGCGTATTGATGCGTTATACAAAGCTTAATATTACATATGAGACTTTATAATTTTGTATCAAATCAAGTGGCGACTGAGAGTCACCTCTCGAGTGCAAAGGGTTAAAGAATCATCTCCAGCCATCGTCATCGCGTCGAATCCCGCAGTCGCCGACGCGCGGTGTTACCGTTATTCGCGATCGGGCGTCGTCGGATCGTTGCAGGGGAGATTGTTCCCATATTTCTCCTCGCAGCGTACCGGAATGTTAATTCCGTTGCGTATTACCTCGATCCCCGCGTCCCGTCGAGCACGCGAGCGCGCGCGCGCCTCTTCTGTTCGCCGAGCGAGCGTTCCCAACCGCGAAATTCCGGCGTTCGCTTCGAAACGATCGATCGCTGGGCTCGCGGAAGTCCCGGAGGGGCTCCCACGGCTGTAAATCATCGTTAAGGGAAACGTCCGCGTCTTTGTTCGCATAAATCTGTCAACCGGCCCGGCGATAACGCGCGTCCGCGTTTCAAAGCGCCGCGGAATCGATCGAACGCCGCCAACTGCGCGCTTGTTGCGAATGCCACCGTCGACGATTCCCTTCTTCCCTCTGTCGATCTTCCCGGAAAATACGTGGAAAGTTTCTTTACATTGAGACAGTAAACACGTCTGGCTCGGTGTAACTGATCGGCACGTGACGAACTACATTAACCTTTCAACGCCGGGATTTCCCAGCAATTATGCGGCGAGCTTCAGCGCGAAACTGTATATGACATTGATACTGTGACAATTAAAAGTGTTGTTAGGGAATGTCGTGCGCGGAAAACAAATGGCGGCGTTAACGTTATATCGAGCAGTTAAATTGACTTTGAAATTCCTCTATAACTTCGAGATTGATTGATTTCAAACTCGGTTTGTCTATTGCTACATCAATTTCTTCAATAGTTCCTCCGAGAAACGTCTATCTTTCTGATAACCGCAAAACGGGGAAATCAATGGGTGATTTGGACCGTCTGTTTCAGTGTGAAACACAGTTATAGGCAGAGCGAGCCAATCCAGCGTATCGTTTAAAGACACGATACCGAGAGCTATAGCGGCGTACAGAAGCTGAAAGGTTAACTTCTTTCATAAATATTGGAGATCGAGATCCGCTTTTCTTTTCAATTGACCGTAATCCTATCCAGCCGAATCCGTAGATGGCTTTGCCAATTCCATTTCCATTAGAGGCGAAAGGGAAACCTTTGCGACGCAAACGAGACGAAAGCGAGAAGCTTCGAGAAGTTTCCCAAACTGAATTCCCAGCGATCTCCAGCCGACGGAGAGACCCGCGATCCGGAGACGGGGACCGTTCCGTCTCGGGTCGACGTCGCTGCTCCCGTACTTTGTTCCGGAACTTGGAAAGAACACGGCAGAAATCGCGGAAAAGTTCGTTTTACGGGCACGTCCCTTCGTAAACTTCCCGCAACACCCCTCGTAACGGTGTAACGTGTCTCGTTAGGGGATTTCAGCTCGACTCGGTTATCCCGTTGATCGTTCTCCTAAAGCCGACGTTCCGTGCGCGACGTTCCTCGAAAAGCAAACGGAAGTCCCGGGAAACAGGAAATATTTAACCGTCCCTTAACCCTCTATGGCCGGATTTTTGTTCACGATTATAACAAAATCTACGCAGTACAAAATTAATAAATATCCACATATGAATACGAATTAACAATGTATTCAATAGTTTCAGTAATTTCATCGAACGAATATGTTTCGTAACTTTCAAGTTACAATGACGTTTCACGCGATATTTATTTATTTATTTACAATATTTATTTCAGCTTAACCCCTTGACCTACGATTTCTCAACTATCTATGTTTGCTCTAAGCTATAATAATTCGTAATAGAAGAGTACTATTCAATTTGTATTCACAAAAATTAACACTAGAACTACCGAGCATTTAATACGATTAATATGCAATTCCCATAAAAATTGTAACAATAGATTACTTTCAGTTTCTTCGAGCATTCATTATAGTACTCAAATGAAACTACTTGTTTTCAAAATCGTTTCGAATATTCAATGCTTCGAACATATCAATAATCGCTGAACAAACAAATCGAAACCAGTCATTTTGACTGGCACGTAGTTCCAGTGTTAACGAGATCAACGCTGATTCGTTTCGCTTCGTAGCCGACGTACTCCCGATACGATCGAACGTCGAGCGTCGCGCGGCCGCGATCGATTCGAAAATGTCGGTTTCCATAATGGAACAATGAATCAGTTTCGCTTCAACCGAGACAAGTAGACGCGTCTGTTCGGTACAACGGACCGGCACGCAACGAACTACCTTAACTTCTTTCATAAATATCGCGATGGAGATTGAGGTCCGTTTTTCTTTTTAACCTTTCGCGGACGGACGTCGATACTCCGGGGAGGTGGAACGTTCGTATTTGGAACGGAAAGTCGCGAGCGAATGATGCACTCGCCTCGACGGCAAGAGATCAGTAGTTTCCTCCTTTTAATTATTCAAGCAAACTAGTATAATTAGCTTCGTCACGGTGTTTATTCCCAAGAATCTTCCGCGAAGGATTAACACGTTGACGCCCACTTCGAAACCGGTAATCACGAGGAAAAAATTCCTTTCTTCTCTTAATCAGTTGATCCTTGAGGAGTTCGATCGAGATATACTCTCAGAATAAAATTACTATATTTATAATACTAAGAATATAGCACGACCATTGCCGTCATTCACTAGCATTGAACAGCATCGTAGAGATCGAGATCCATTTTCCTTTAAATCGATTTTAATTCTATCCAGTCCGCATAGATCCTATCACAACCAATTCCATTTCTAATAGAAAACCTCCCTCATCCTCGACTCGAGCGGATCGCCGTCGAATCGACGATCGATCGATCAATCCTCGAACAAACCCATTTCCCGCGAAATCGAGATGCCCGAAACGATCGAAAGCAGGAGCGCTCCGGCGATAAACGGCTTAATTGCGATTTAATTAGGCCGCGCATCGTTCCGCTATAGATTTAAAGAGCGGAGCGTTCGCACGTCGCTCGCCGCGGAAGGTTCGCGCTAAAACGAGCGCGGCTGAGAATAAATCCCGAGTGTTCGGGCCGTCTAAAGATACCGAGACCGAGAGGCGTTCGATTCCCGATTCCGCGGGGAGGCTCGGTCGCGATTCACCTCTGACTTCTCTGGTCCGTTCGCAGGTACGCCGACCGTACCTACAGGCACCACCCGCGCGGCCTGATCATATACGGGCCGGTGACGGTATCGAGCTTGCTCGCGAGCAACAATGTCACCGAGACGACGATGCACTGGGCCGGCAACAGGAGCCACCCGGATTTCTCCAAGTCGGACGCCGCTTTCCCCACCCGGAACGCGTACCCGGTGCCCAGCTCGCTGGAATTCGGCTCGACGACGCCGAACTCGACGAACGGCACCGCGCTGCGACGGTGCCCGCTCATTCCTCCGAATCTCGGTAAGTTCTGCCATCCGTAAGATAATACTGAGACATATACACGCTAAACAAGCGATGCTTGTTCATTCCTCCGAATCTCGGTAAGTTCTGCCATCCGTAAGATAATATTGAGACACATACACGCTAAACAAGCGGCAATATCTGCTTGTTCCTCCGAATCTCAATAAGTTTTGCCATCCGTAAGATAATATTGAGACACATACACGTTAAACAAGCGATGCTTGCTTGTTCCTCCGAATTTGGGTAAGTTCCATCTGCTGTGAGGTAATCTTGAGACATTCATGCAAGTTAACACTAGAACTACCGAGCATTTAATACGATTAACCCTTTGCACTCGGAAGTTTTTCAGTAGAAATATTTGAACATTTTCTGATGAGATAAAATCGATATTTCGTGGAACTAAGTCGACGAGAAATCACGCGTGCATTGAGGAACAAAGCTATTTTGTTCGAATATTTCTCAGAATGATGCATTATAGGAGATATAATATTAAATATCAGATTTTATAGTTTTACTGTAAATCGAGTGGTGAGAGTCACCTCTCGAGTGCAAAGGGTTAAAGAGAGTTCTCCAGCAGATTCCATTCTGTTTTATGCAAAATCCTGTTTTAACATCCATCTCCGATTGGAATGGAAGCTCGCTCGCAACTTGCTCGCAACTTGCTCGCAACTTGTTCCGTCACTCGTTATCATTCGTTCGCAGTTGGACCTCTGTCTGTCGGCAAGTCTCCCCCGGAACTGTCGGTGATGGAGAAGGAGTTCAGCGACGTGAAGCCCGGGGGTAGAGGGTGCCCGACGGACTGCGTCGCCAGGCACCGCGTCGCCATCGTCATACCGTTCCGAGACCGACCGCAACACCTCCAAGCGTTGCTGTACAATCTCCATCCGATGTTGCTCCGTCAGCAGATCGACTATCAGATATTCGTGGTCGAGCAGAAAGGTGGGCAAGCTATTTCATACTTCCCCGAGCGCGAGTCCCTGTGAATGTTCGCGAACCGAGCGGAACAGAAGTTCCCTCTTTGTATCGAGATTGTTCGCTAAAGTTTCCCGAATACTTTCCCGATTGTTCGCCGACGCCGCCGGTGAAATTCGTCGGAACACCCTCGGATCGGCGAGGCATCGATCGGATTCTCGGATGTGCCGTTCTTCGTCGGTTGCATAAGCGGCTGACGAGTCGACGTTGATTTCGCGCGTGCTCGAAAGGCTGTTACGTGAGTGCTGGCCACTGACGATGTGTTTTCATTTGTCTGAACGGGTAACGGCGAGGAACGCGGATAGTTCGAAGTCGGAGCGTAATGAGAAGAAGCGACGCACGCGTTAAATAAACGTGTAATAGAGCAAATATCAGTTTCATTGATTTCGATCTTACTTTCTCGAACGTAGTGGATTATTGACCCTTTGCACTCGAGAACTGACCGAACAAAATGATCAAATTTAGAATTCACTGTCAAATTTTATATAATGTATCGACACGTGGAACATCGAAATAAACTAGTTCTGTCACTTAATTTCTGCAAGGTATTTCTTTATGTTAGTTGTGAAATATATGATTGATATTTTATCAGAAAATAATGAATATTTCTTGAGAAAAATACGAGACTCTCATTTGATTAGACGCAGTGAAACAATCAAATCTGATATTTAATGAACTTTATGCCTTGGTACGTTACACTGGAATAAAATAGCTTCCTTAATATACTTGCAATTTCCCTGCAATTACTTTCAAGGAATATCATCTCTTCGAAAACTGTCAAACATTTCCAGCGAGAAACTTCCGAGCGCAGAGGGTTAAAGAAACGAACCCTTCAACTACTTCGATGTACATCGTGTCCAGACTCGACTCATTCGCAATCTCAACGGTCCACTTCAACGAACTAAGATCGAAATGAATGAAACTGATTCCTTTTGCATATTTATATCCCACATCGCTTTGAAGTCTCCAACCCTCGACGCTCGAAGCGCGTCGTCCCCGCTTCTCGTTACACCGATTCCCGGCTTCGTCGGACCGTCTCCCGCCCCTCGGCGCACTCCACCTCGAAGGGGACGCGAGGAGATATCATCTGCGGACAGTAAGTCGACCGGCTAATCGCGGGGACGGATAAGAAGCGTCCCCGGCCGCGCCGCAATGCGGTATCGGCGGCGTGCGTTGGATGCACCGGTGCGGCGGGACATCGCGACACCCCCCGGGAGGATTCGATTGGCGGCGGGGAGCAATCGCGGACGCGCGACACACCGGCACGCTAACCTTAACGCGGCTCTAATTGCTGGAAACTGGTCCCGGGCACGATTCCGCCCCACTGCCTCCCTTTGTAATTTAGATCTTACTCTCTTATTCGTTTCCCCGCCCTCTTCGGCTCCCTCTCGGCTATTCCCGTTCGCGGCACCCCGTTCCTGCCTCGGGCTACTCCAGATTACGATACAAAGCCTCCGAATAGTTTGCTTTACGTAATTGCCGCCATCTTGAATATTTATCGAGCAGCCCCGGGCCCCGATGCTTCTTCTCAACCAGTAACTGTGGAATTTAGTTGGAAAAACCGCTCTCGCAATAAAATAAAATGGAGCGTGTACTCGTCGAACGCTGGACGAATGCGCGTAGAGTATATAGAAATGAAAGATCTAACTATACAGAGTATATAGAAATGAAAGAAAAACTAATGAAAGGTCAAAGCGAAACAAAGAATTACATGTTTACGTGAAAAAATCAGGAATTCATCGCTGAAAGAATTCGTATCACGTCAAACACAGTTGACTGGTTAACGGAGGTAACGTCGATGTAACGTTTCGATTCTGACGATTCTCAGGTATATTATCGAAGACATTTCCAACAACTCCCCTTACACGTTGTCACCGTCAGGCTCTAGTTTCCAAGATAATCGCGAAAGATCTATGTTACCACGCTGAATTCTGTATTCGAAGTTGCTCTACGAATTCCTGCAAAATTGCTTGGAAGAATTGCAATCTAATAATGATCTCGGATGCCTAACGTCGAATTAAAATGCTCGATAGCGTAGATAACTATGGAACTGCGCAACGCGAGCATTGCGATAGCGAATAACAATTTCCTCGTTATGTTCGCCGCGAAAGAATAGGCGATACATAAAACTCGGAAGGTTTCCGTGGCTGTCGACGCGTTAGAGTAACGCGGAACGTTACTGCGAATGCGACCGCATCGTCCGACGGTGAGAATTCGCCCGGCGCGAATCACGATCGTGGATGCGATGCAATTAGCCGCAGCTGTCGTGGGACTCGCCGCGATACCGTTAATATCGTTCGGATGCGTTGCTCGCCGGGAACATCGGGGAACGTTACTCGAAGTCGTCGTTACCGTAACTCGACGTCGGGAAAGTATCCCCGCGGTCGTCGGTTCCTCGTTAACGGGAAGTTGCGACACCCGCGGCACCCATCTGCGCCGCGTCGATTATCGAGATCGTTCGAGGCGACTCGCGGAGATGCGCCGTTCTCCTTGTTCCCGAGTTAGGGTTCGGAATGGTTATGGTTAACGTGTTAGCGTAACGGTCATTGCGTCAATTATAATTTATATTAACCCTTCGTGCACGAATGTCGACATCTTGGGGAGATGACACGCTCGTATTTGGAATACTAAGCTGCAAACGAATGATTCAGCTAATTTACTAGCAAGAATTCAGTATCTCCATTGTTTAAGCGTTCGATGTATAATTCAGCTCCATACGCCGCGAGTTTCGCATTCTTTAAAGAGCCTTCGCGAACGGAGCTGTTTAATCGCGTCTGACTTCAATAATGGACTTTATTAACTCCAGATTCACGGACGTTTCTTCTACACTTTATTCTATTGTTCCTAAAGATCTGCATCTATATAAATCGTGAAAATTGTAGCCTCACAGTTTTACGATTCGCCGGATTGGACGAATGAATATCGACCGAAACTCCTGTTTAAAGAATTCAGTATGCAAATTTGCTTCCGTAAGTCTAGTGTCGTGAGGAATCCTCGACAAGCATTCTGTTCATAAAATTGTCAATGGATTCAATCGCGGTAGACCGTAGCAGAGATAAACTTGCTAATCGGTGTGGCCGGCCCTTCGAAATTCAATTCACCGACGATCCTCGCAGCGGGAGGACGTTTATCGCGCGCCGCTCGATCCTCGGTGTAATTCGGGGGAAGCTGGCCAGGAAAGGGGGGAGAAGACGAGCAGCAAGAAAAGAGGCTATTTGTCGCGCGACGGCCCCGTCGGGCCCTCGACTTCGTCATCCTCTTATCCTCGACACAGCCTACAACCGTTACCGCTTCGGCGGGAGGAGGACGCGCGCGTTTTTGCCACTTCCTCCGAGTCATCGGATCGGACGGTATCCGTTGACGCGGCTGACTCATCGAGATACGACTTCCAGTCGCGCTAACGACGCTATAAACGTCTTCTGGAATTCGAAGGGACGCTCATCGGTTTCGCGGGAGCCGGCTGTCGGGCGGACGCGTCGAGGCGCGAAGTTCACGGGAGCAAAGATAATCGATCGGAGACGCGCCGCCTTTGGAGCGGGCTTCTCTTTACCTGCTTTCCACTTTTCCCTTTCGACGGGATCTCATGCGTTACGCGTTGTTCCTCGATCGACCTAGATGCGTGGAGTCGGCGGCGACCTCCGACCCGTCTGCAGGCCACGCTCGTGCAACCTCTTGCCCTGGAAAGTCATTCAAGATTCGGTGAAATCTCGAACAATGCTTTTCGCCTACTTAACGCAGATAGGTACGCGATAGTCTGGTAATATAATTAGTTTGAAATAAGTAATCCAGTTTAAAGGAACTGTTTAATATCAAGTCCAGTTTCAACGGTGGGCTTCGTTAAACTGAACTGTCGTCGGCAACGCGCGCTCGATTTATAAAATTGATCGATTCAACGCGGTAGACCGTCGCTTACATACCGTTGCTGAGAAGCTGGCACTCGTGACATAATAGGGCGGAGACAGTCGCGAGAACTGCAATTGCAAGACTGCAATCTCTCGCGCGAGAGTGCGTGCATCGGCCAATCGCATACTAGAACCCGACATTCGTGAGAGAAAGGGGTGCGTCTTCGAATCTGACCACTCAGACGAGAGTGCCAGGTTCGCAGCAACGACGGTACGCGTAACGCGACGAGACTCGATGTGTAAGGCGTCGTTAGCAATTTCCCAAAGAAAAACGTTTCGACGTGGCACGTGTTTGCTGCGCAAGAGGTGAAACCTAGCTCTCTTTCCTTTTACAACCGAAATCGTTACGCGCCTCTTTCAGGTAGCGAAGCCTTCAACCGCGCGATGCTGATGAACGTGGGCTACGTGGAGGCTTTGAAGGAGCGGACTTTCGACTGCTTCATTTTTCACGACGTCGACCTACTTCCGGAGGACGATAGGAATCTGTACACCTGTCCGGAGCAGCCGAGGCACATGTCCGTGGCGGTCGACAAGTTCAAATACAGGTACAGTACCGCGCCTCGAAATGGAGCAGCTGTGTACGTAACGTTCCGCGATCGTTCCGCGCAGGCTGCCGTACGCCGATCTGTTCGGCGGCGTGTCGGCGATGTCCCGCGAACACTTTCGCCTGGTGAACGGGTTCAGCAACGTGTTCTGGGGCTGGGGCGGCGAGGACGACGACATGGCGAACCGGATAAAAGCCCGCGGCCTCCACATCTCCCGGTACCCGGCGAACGTCGCGCGCTACAAGATGCTCACGCACAAGAAGGAGAAGGCGAACCCCAAGAGGTGAGACGTTCATGATGGTAATTAACACGTTCAGCGCCATGTCGGTCGCCGATGACGCTCCTGGATCGCTTCGAGAGAATCGTAACGCGCAATGGGAGTGTTTAATGACGTAGCTCAGCTGATAATACGATGCAAGGACTGTAACGCTAGATAATTAGTAGTTTTTCCTGCTCTTTGCTAAAGAGTAACTACGGAGAAACGGTCGAGACTTCCATGGCGCTTAACGTGACTTATCGACGAAAAAAATAGAATACAACGCGGTGGGCGTCTTTATTTTACCGTGTAACAACTGCACAATGGTCGATTTATATTTCGACGCAAGGAACGGTGATCAATCTGTTATACGTTAAACAAGGCGTCGTCACTCGGCTGACGTAATACGCAATGTTCTTCCCGCAACGATAAGAAACGACGAGTTTTAACCCTTAGCGCTCCAGGTTGTTTTGTAATCTATCAGCAACTGCTAATTTTTATAGTATCCCCAGCGAAAGTGAGAAATGCTATAACATTTCTTCGATCATTTCCTTCTTAGTATAAAATTCGGATGTGTGGAAGATCGAATAACTTTAGGGTAGTTTCTTTAAGATTCATTGAAACATGTAATATCAGAACTGGTGCGATATCGGAGCCTACAGAGTTCAAAGGGTTAATACAGACTAAACGAACGAAACGCGTTTCAGGTACGAGTACCTGAAGACGGGCAAGAAGAGATTCGCCACGGACGGACTGAGCAACCTGCAGTACGAGCTGGTCGACGAGCAGAAGCCGAAGCTGTACACGTGGCTCCTGGTGAAGCTGACGCCTCCGCAGCCTAGCTGATGGCTCTCGTGGATCGGGTAGCGGACGAGGCACGGAGAAATCGATGCTCCCACGACACGGTCCGCTTTCGGATCCAAAGGATAACGCGCGTTCGACGGGACTCGCATCGTTCGGCCCGTCGAAACGATCTTCCCTCTCGTTTTTCTTTGTTAATCGAAACCGTCGCGCCCCGACTGGACGGTGCACACCGACGGGGAACACGGACGTTGGAATATCCCGCTCGACGCGTCGGCGGGTCGTTTCTCTCGCGGCGGGACGCGCAGCACCCGACGACCTCTCCGTCGACCCGTTGGTCGGCCGAGGACGAGGGAAACGTTGTTACGTGATATATTTTTATTCCTCGTATTTTTTTATCGAACGATAGATTAGTGAGAGAGCGAGCTAGCGAGAGAGAGAGAGAGAGAGAGAGGATGAATGTTCTTGCGGGTGTGCACGGCTGAGAGAGCGTGAATAGAATTTAGCGTACGAGCTAACGTGCCAAAGGAGAATGCGCGCGCGTACTCGCGTGTCCGAGATGTAACGAAAATGGGCGCGGGACGAGCGCGTCGAGCGGACAGAGAGGAGCTCGGACATCCTTCCTGGAATCCGACCGTTTGAACGGTGTACACACGTTTCGCGCGTGTTCGACGGTTCAGACGCGAACAGTGCGCGGACTCTTCCGGGTGTCGTTCACCCCCTATTCAGAACATTTTTGTACCCGACGAGCCAGCGGTTTCCCCCGAGTTTCGTAGAAACGTGCTCAAAGACGGTCGATGTTTCCGGCACCGCTGCGCCGCGGGCGGAGAGGAGGACGATTTCCATAGGTTAGGATAAATCGGCGGACCTTTGCGTCGGCGTTTTCGAGTCGAACGGAAGGGTGCATATTTTTTTAAGATTCTTAGAAGTTTTCTCCGTCGACGGCCGACAACGGCGGCCAGCATCGGCGTCGCGAGACGGGTTTATCGTCCGTGTAGTTATCGTTTGTCGAACGGCGATCATCCCGCGATAGCTTAGGCGGGTGTATAGAATGGGAAAACGGTACTTAAGCGTATAACGCGATTCCGTTGATCGTCGAGACTCCGCGTATACTCGGGTAACCTCGTCGTTTCTATTTTATACGTATTTCCTCGGGAACCGTGCGCGTTTCTCGTTGATCGTTACTCGTTACTCGTTTACACGTTACACACACCTACACACACACACACGCGACACGTACACATGCACACACAGAGACACAGACAGACAGACAGACACGTGGTACGACGGCGGGCCGACGCGCTGCAGGTATCGGGGAAACCGATTTCCGAGCGCGAACGTTCACCGCGAAGTCGCAGCTCGAAGCTGGCGACTGTCCGAACACGTACACGCAAACATATCACGCGTATCGTAAAAATCTGCGAGCGTTCGATCGTTTGGATTGAATTACTTAAATCGTTAAGGGTGAGAGGTACGGGCTGTGAAAATGACGCGCCTTCCTTACACCGGCGCAACCGCGCGGCGCGGAGGGTGGCGGGCGTGGGGTTGAAGGGCGGGGTCGAGCGCGAGCACAATAAGGTTAGACCAATTTCCTATGCACGCCGAAACGCGCGACTCAGCCGGATTCGAATCTTTGGGAACAGCCGATCGATCCCCGGCGTCGAAGCGGCGAGAGCAGCTCCGTCGACGCGATTCGCGCGTGCCGTTGGACGTCGACCGCCCGGATGCTCTCGAATCCTCGAGCGTCGCGCGTCCTCCGATTGGCTCTCGTCGCGACGACCGGATGTTCGGCGACCGCTGCTTTCCGGAGGAGCGGCAGGTGGTGGGAACGACGCGAACCAGCGCGGTTCGGAGCGGTTTCAGTTTACTTTGCGGATACTCTACGCTGTACTTGTTCAGACGCGTAGCGAGATCGTTTCGCGACGTCTGCCACGCGCCTAAACGAACCGTTGTCGAATAATGGCCGATGGTATCGGTGACACGCTCGAGAGACATTCGAGGGGGCAATCGGAAAGCATCGTCTCGTTCTCGGTTTGCTACGTTTCTCGAAAGTTGCCGCGACGCGGCGTCGCGCAACCGGTGGAAAGGTAGCGAAACGACAGTTAGTTTTGTTCAATGAAATCTTGTTTATTTTCTCGTTTGATCGCCGCGCCCGCCCCGATCGGCCGGCGCGGCGCGATTCGGTTCTCGTGCTTCCGAGCGACACGCGTTCTCGCTCGTTTGAACCTGTACGCGTCACTGTAAATAGAATTCTCGTCGAGGAAGACGTCGAGGCGCAGCTCGACTCGCGAGCGGAGCAGGGAGAGCAGCGAGAGTGGACCGTTTGTTCGGCGCGAACGCCCTCCAACGGGGAAACAACGAAATTCCACCGACTTCGCGTTTCCGCGCCGGAACAGCGAAACAGAGAATCACCGGCCTGTTAAAACGATCCGGTCTAAGGACACTCGCAACGCGACAAGCAGGAAGCGAAACTTAGCGAAGACGTCTTCTCAGCTACGCCGGAAGATTACAATTTTTCACAAGCTACACTCGTGATGTATCGAAACAATAAATCTTGTTAACGCTTATCCCTCGGAACTCCTGCAACTCCTGTAACTTCCACCCTTAAACGCAACAGGACGGAACGGTCGCTCTATCTGGACAGTATAATCTCCCGAACGATACTCCCCATGTTCCTCGCGGTGAACTTGCTCGTGGAGTTCAAAAGTTCCTTCACGAATCGGTGATTCAGCAAGCGATGGGCCAGGACAGCGTCCTGGTCGTCGAGGTCGTCGTCCCTCAGTTCCCTGTACGCGGAAAGCAAAGAATCCCGAAGGTTCGCCGACGGACCGAAGACTTCCGGGCTCGGAACCTGCGACGGCAAGGTGGCGGACAGTACCGTCTGAAAAAGGATATCGATTCGAGCGACGTCCAAGGTAGGTACCTCGAAATTGCGTCGAAGGAAGTAACCCTTACGAGGCAGACGTCGAAGGGCACCCAATACTCGATCGATTCCTCGTCGGACCTCTGAAACTTGTACTCGCTCTCGCCGAACGTGGAGCAGTCGGTCGTCGAGGGGTCGTCCATCTGTAACGAACGAAACGAAGAGGCGCGGCTGTCGTGCGCGTAGCTAGGAGAACCATACCTCTCGAATCGATCTGGGCAGAGATTCGCGCGACTCGTCGGTACCCGTGCGACGCGTTCGCTGGTGCACGTCATCGACGTATCGCTCGCCCTGTTCCACGCTAACGCAGATTCTGGTGCCGATCGCGAGCGCGAGCGCCTTCGCGAGGCCTTCGCGCGGGTCCTCGGCCTTGCAGAAGGCCAACAGCAGAGCGGTGTAGTTGACCTTGCGCCGGTCGATCATGTACATCCGGCAGAGCAACTCCTTGATCAGCGCCAGGCGCAGCGTCTCCTCGCCGAGGACGCAGTCGCCGGAGTTCTTGGGCCGCTGATTCGAGTTCCGCAGCGTCTGGTCGATCGAAATCCCGTCGCGGTCGAACCGGTACAGCTCCTCCTCGTACAGCTCCTCGGGACTCCGCTGGAAGTCGTCGCGCAGCAGCTGCGCCGCGTCTCGCAGCGGCTCGACGCACTCCAGGAACCAGACGGACGTCCGGAGGAACTGGTCGACGGTGACGACTTCCGTCAGGTCC